TCTCGTGCGTTATTTGTATTTTACGAAGCACAGTTGGATAAAAAACGAAAGAGGCAGCGACAAAGGAAGAAAACTGCCGTAATAAATATGTGTACAGCTGTGTATAATTTTCTTTTCCGATGTGTGAAAAGTTATAAATATGTACGACAGTCGTGAGAACACCTTTCTGGAACATTCCTTATGTCATGAAAGGAATTCAGTAAAAGGTTTCCTAATGAGGTTTGATGTTTTTATGATGACAGCACCGATAATGCATTAGATAAGTGGCCGATTGTTTCTGATTAAATAAAAAGCGTAGTGAGGTAAACAGGATGTGGTTAAATTTGAGGACTTTGAATTGTTGCGTGAGTGTTTTTAGAGAGAAAATGATACCCAAACAACGATCAGTTTCCCAGAAAAACATGATTTGAGAAAAAAGCTTATTTCTAGAAAGCTAAAAACGTTAATTTGAAAAACCGGTCATTAGTACCAGCAAATACACCATTCAAGCTGCAACTTGAGGAACGAGTAGCTATGGGCCGGCAAATTTACTTTTTACTCGAAAGAACTAGTTACTTTTATGACTTGAAAAAGAACCATACCAAGAATTTCTTTTCTTCTCGTCGCATGCGGCTCTGCAGTGTAAGACCATTCGAAGTCGCAGCGTGTTATTTGCCCGCCCATCTTTGATGTATGTGCAACCGAAGCTACGGAGCAATGATCAACCTCGTTCCCAGGGCCTTTTCCCTTTGTTGGGGGTGGGGCGGGGGTGGGGCGGGAACGAGGTTGAGCAATGATATTTAGTAGCAGCGTCTTTGAATCTTGATGACATATGCTGTATTCTTATTTAAATCAGCAGAAGATTAGGTAGTAGTAGGCAGTGAGCAAGAGATTGTCGACCATACATTTATCTCTAAGGTAAATTTCCATACGGTTGGTTGCTTACTCGGAGGCGAATTACTAAGGCGAATAATGATTCAACATTTGAATAATCAACTTCTGAAATAATTTTTTTCGGTGACGCTTGACGTGATACTATTGCAAAACTTATTTTATATAAGCAAATAAGAATAAAACAGGAAGTCAAGTATTTCTGTCTATTAGTTTTTTTCTTAGTCTGTGCGATCGGTGCCGAAGAATGAAACTACAGAAAACTAGTTAAGCTGTTTACAAAAGGTTAAGATATCTTAATCATTCACCGGCGGCGATTTTCGTTGATTCCTTTCAACATTTGCTGTCAAAATCAACACCAGATGCAGGAAATTAAATGTGGGGAGGATTTCCCATCTCCCCTCTTGAAAGAGGAGTACTAGTCTCACCACGATCCCCCAACTGAAAAAATCAGAGAAGGCCTGGCGATGAGTTAGGGGGATAGCAGCCGGCAGAAAGATAACACAACAGTTTTTGCCGACGATTTCTTGAGGATACGCCCTATTACGAGTTCGCCCCCTTAATGGTTCGCTCCATCAAAAATAAAAAAGTCGCCCTAATCTGTACCATTTCGTCCCTTACTCTTTCAAGTAGCTTCTATGCAGTAGAATGTATTCCTTTTCTGGGGTCATGCTCGGTGTAAAAACATGACGAGGTCTTCTTTGCTTAATGAGGTATTGTTTTGCTGTTTATAATGTTTGTTGTCTCTGTTTTGCGTCACTCGTGAGCTGCACAGGTTTTTACACCGAGGATGAGCCCTTTTCTGACGAAATTGAAATTTATTTTGATCAACATGATAACTGACTGCAAAACAAGGAACGAAACATATTCAAAAGGTAAAATCTTAACTTTATGAGCTTGTGCACGCACAACTTCACGAGTAACGCAAAGCTGCTTCAGTACACTGGCCCAAAAAGAAAAAGTTGGTGTCAGCGCGCTGCATGGGACTCTGGGAGTTTCGCCGAAAGGAAGGCTGCTCTTTGTCTCGAAATTGGAAGCCCTTACCCTTAGACATGAAGTGAACATTTTATATGACAATCTTACTGAGATCGCTGACTAGTTGTTATTACGTAACTTACTTGCCAGTCAACGCGTTACACAGCCGGACGAGCTGGACAGCTTCACGTAGAACGCGCACGTGAAATTTGTGAGTCAATGAAGTTGCTGAGGAAAACAGTCGGTTATGGAACAATTGTTGCCGGATTAACTGGTATTACAGTTGGTTTTGTGTACGGACCAGAAGAACTGAAACGTAGAATAACTTCTAATGGCCTAGTACGAATAGCGAGGGCCGCTCGAACGGTGGGTTACCATCATAACTGCGATGAACACACTCATCTTCGTTTATTCGTCTGCAGTTCAAATATATGATATTAATGCATTGGCAGTCATTCATTTATCAATGACGAGTTTATTACGGACCAAAAAAATGAATGGCTCCTTGTTGGCTTGTTAGTTCAGTTGGTAGAGTACTGCACCGGTAGGGCAGAAGTCATGGGTTCAACCCCGTACAATGCAAGCTTGAATTTTTTTAGGCCTTATTTTCACCACTACTTAATGCATCGATCAGCGACTTCCCCCCACCCCGAGGGCCCACCCACAGGAACCCAAGGGCATTTGTTGAGATTGTCAGATATTTTTGTTGCCCGGTGGGGAGGAAAATATCACTTTAATCTCGTTCATAGGTATTGCATCCTAGGGGTAGACCCTGGGGATTTGCTGGTCAGAATTGTACTCTATAGATGATTCCTGGATGTTGTTCGAAGTGTTCATGCATGAGCCACTTGAGTAGTGGTGAAAAATAGGGCTGCTTATTTACTTCTCATTGAATCATAGTACATCCTTTTTGTGTTTTGCCTGTCTTTCAAAGCTTATGTGCTGACAAGGTGGACCTATTTGTTCCCCAATTTACTGGTGAAGCAGTAGTAGTTCTTAATATCACTGCAAAGTTTTGTGTAGATATTTTGCTCTGTCATTTTGCTCTATAATATTTTGCTCCATATTTTGCTCTATATTTTGCTCTATCCATTGAGCTATCCACCTCCCAGTTAGCTCAATGGATAGAACGCTGGACTGTTGTGCGGGGGGTCGAGGGTTCAAGCCCCAACCGGACCAACACTCAAGGTCTTAAAATAATTGAGAAGAATATGCTGCCTTTCCATAACATCAAGAAATGGTTTAGATATTCTAGTCTTCTGGGATAGGGACGAAGAAATGGAGGTCCTGTTTCCTGCAGGGTTAGGGGTAGGAGACGTTAATTTCCCACGCATGAGATTACTGTGTGATGGATGTCCTCCCCTGGGGTGGGATAGGTGGGTTGTTGTTTTGCGTAACCATGCCCCACGTTAAGACATTAAACTTTGATTACAAGCCTTGATTACAAGTAGTGTGTTCAATCCCTGGGATGACAGCTTTGTTTTAGAAAAGTTTGGGTTATACAGAAATATTTCCATTTATTCTATTCCAAAGTGATTTTTAGTTGTTGCAGTTCAATTAAGGGGTTAGTTGTGAGTAGGGTTTTTTTTCTTTTCAACAGGATGTCCAATTCTATCATTTTAACTGAATTAATGCCAGCATACAGAGCACAGCCACCTTTCAGTGAGGTAGCTGTACACTGCAGACTGCAATGGTCACCTTCACAATCAGACAATCTAAATATTCCCCCATCCCCCCCCACTCATAATGCTAAAGGTTTATTAGTGGTTGAGAGATCAATTGGACAAGAATTTAGTAGTATGGACTTACTTGTGTTTTTTGTTGTTGTGACGGAAGGTGATTGTTATTAGTTATGACTACAAAAGGACACTTTGGAGAATTGACAAAAGTTCAAGTAAATATTCAGAACTCAGATCTCAGGTGAGGTTTAGTTACAGACTGTTCCACTTATGAAAAGTGTATACCCAGCAATACTCAAATTTGCTGAATATAATTTTGTACCTCTACTGTTCCTAGTCACTTCTAAAGTACTGAACTTCATTTTGGTAGAGTAGTAGAATGGGTATAACCAAGGCCTTGTACAGATGAGGAAAGACTTCCTTGTTCCCTGCACTAACATTCCTTTTAAGGAAACCCACAATCATATTAGCTTTATTTACAACTTTCCGTGTATGGGTGTTCCAGGATAGATTTGAAGACAATAAGACCCCCAAATCGACAGTTTTGGTGACACACTGCAGCATACTTAACAATTATTCTACGAGTGCATGTTGGATACGAGATGATAGATAGCCAACGAGGCGCATAGTACTGAGTTGGCTATAATCATCTAATATCCAACAAGCGCGAGTGGAATAATTGTTTTATTAAAAAACTGCCCCAAGATATTAGACAAATCTTGTCTACTTTATTTTGTAAGAAACCGGATGTTACAATGTACAGATATTAGATTTTGGTATATTGGCTCAGATACCATAATGGCTAAGCCAATAAAAAGTCTTGAATTGCATTATCCAATGATCCAGTTTTTAATAAAACCAGATAGCTTGTTAGGATAGCTGGTGTGATCCCTCACATGGGAAACAGGTAGAACCTCACATTTGTCAGGGTGAAAACGAAATTGCCAAGTTTCACTCCATTTCTGTAGCGTGTTGAGGTCACGTTGGAGTGATATATATTAATAACCTTAAGGTCCTTCATTAAGCTTATTATGTTTCAGGTATTGAATAGATTAGAGACAGTACATTCTTGCTTGTTATTACCGCACTTGTTAGGTTCATCTGAGATCTGCTGAGAGTTTGCGAGACTTATGCTGTGTCAATGGAGGAGCGTATATCAAAGTGGGTCAGTATGTGGGGTCCTTAGATTACCTCTTGCCCACAGAATATGTACAGACCATGAAGGTGCTTCACAGTGATGCTCCACAGAGCCCCCTCAGAGATATCTATCATGTTTTGGAGGAAGAACTGAACTGTAAAGTAGATAAAGTTTTTGCTAGTTTTGAAGACAAGCCCATAGGGGCTGCATCACTTGCACAAGTTCACAAGGCAACACTGCATGATGGCAGAGTTGTGGCCGTCAAAGTACAGCACAGAGATGTTCAAAAGCATGCTGCTGTTGACATGGCAACACTTGAGGTAAGCTTTGGAGTTGATTATGACACATTTCTAGTTTGTTCAGTTATAACAAGGAATCAGTCATTGGTGGGAGGTTGTCTGAAATTGTAACTAACTTTCAAAAATTGAAAATAAAAGTAGAAATTACGTCTTCATTTGAAGTATATTAATTAAAGATCAATTAAAAATTGTCCATGCAATACAGAAATCTTGACTTATATGTAGGAATGGTTCAAAGAATTGTTTTTCATCCAGTTATTAAATATGATGTTTGAACAATCTTAATTTTTTTTATCAATCAAGAACATCTCTCAAACATGTATTCAACATAGTTCATCTCATGAACTCTCCTCACATCAAATCACTCAAATTATTGTATAGAAATACTTATTGGTTTAATTGCTTTGAAGTTTATTGCATAGGATGTCTTGACATGCATTGAGACACTTTGTCTCCTTATCCTTAACAAAATAAAATTATGGGTGATAAAAACTAAATCATGATATTTTAAAAACTGGATTCTTTCAGATTTTAGCTGTAGCAGTTTCATGGTTGTTTCCTGAGTTCAAGTTTATGTGGCTTGTAGAAGAATCCAAGAAACATCTCCCTCTTGAGCTCGACTTTGAGCATGAGGGGCAAAATGCAGAAAAGATCATGCAATTCTTCAAGAAATTTTCATTTGTTAAAGTGAGTCAAATATATTGAGTTTTTCATAAAGGATTCATCCATTGAAGTTGAAACTTAGAGACTGTCCTTAATCGTAAGTTGTCATCCAGTCATTCAAAAATAACTTTGATTTAACTGTATAAGGGGAAATAACTTTCTTTTTTTGGTCCCACTTTGCTTCTGCTCCAGGACTGAATGCATGCAGTTAAAAATGAAGATGAATTATTTAAACCCCAACTTTTGATCGGGGTTAAAGTGCACCTAAACCTCCAAATTTTTTTTGCTGAACAAAATGAGCGTATTTTTTGGAGTATTTCTGTGCAAAATTTTTTTTATTTGCTCAAATCTTCAATTTTCTGTGCCCAGTCAAAATACGGAAAATTGGCTGCCATCTTGGCCCACGACCGAGTTTAAATAGGAATGGCTCTAGCGGGCAATGTGACGTCAAATTGAGAACACGAACGTCTGCATTTCACACATTTTCACTTGTTTGGGTAGGTTGTTGTGGATATTGTCCGAAAATATGCCAACTAAGTGTGTTNAAAAGGACACTTTGGAGAATTGACAAAAGTTCAAGTAAATATTCAGAACTCAGATCTCAGGTGAGGTTTAGTTACAGACTGTTCCTCTTATGAAAAGTGTATACCCAGCAATACTCAAATTTGCTGAATATAATTTTGTACCTCTACTGTTCCTAGTCACTTCTAAAGTACTGAACTTCATTTTGGTAGAGTAGTAGAATGGGTATAACCAAGGCCTTGTACAGATGAGGAAAGACTTCCTTGTTCCCTGCACTAACATTCCTTTTAAGGAAACCCACAATCATATTAGCTTTATTTACAACTTTCCGTGTATGGGTGTTCCGGGATAGATTTGAAGACAATAAGACCCCCAAATCGACAGTTTTGGTGACACACTGCAGCATACTTAACAATTATTCTACGAGTGCATGTTGGATACGAGATGATAGATAGCCAACGAGGCGCATAGTACTGAGTTGGCTATAATCATCTAATATCCAACAAGCGCGAGTGGAATAATTGTTTTATTAAAAAACTGCCCCAAGATATTAGACAAATCTTGTCTACTTTATTTTGTAAGAAACCGGATGTTACAATGTACAGATATTAGATTTTGGTATATTGGCTCAGATACCATAATGGCTAAGCCAATAAAAAGTCTTGAATTGCATTATCCAATGATCCAGTTTTTAATAAAACCAGATAGCTTGTCAGGATAGCTGGTGTGATCCCTCACATGGGAAACAGGTAGAACCTCACATTTGTCAGGGTGAAAACGAAATTGCCAAGTTTCACTCCATTTCTGTAGCGTGTTGAGGTCACGTTGGAGTGATATATATTAATAACCTTAAGGTCCTTCATTAAGCTTATTATGTTTCAGGTATTGAATAGATTAGAGACAGTACATTCTTGCTTGTTATTACCGCACTTGTTAGGTTCATCTGAGATCTGCTGAGAGTTTGCGAGACTTATGCTGTGTCAATGGAGGAGCGTATATCAAAGTGGGTCAGTATGTGGGGTCCTTAGATTACCTCTTGCCCACAGAATATGTACAGACCATGAAGGTGCTTCACAGTGATGCTCCACAGAGCCCCCTCAGAGATATCTATCATGTTTTGGAGGAAGAACTGAACTGTAAAGTAGATAAAGTTTTTGCTAGTTTTGAAGACAAGCCCATAGGGGCTGCATCACTTGCACAAGTTCACAAGGCAACACTGCATGATGGCAGAGTTGTGGCCGTCAAAGTACAGCACAGAGATGTTCAAAAGCATGCTGCTGTTGACATGGCAACACTTGAGGTAAGCTTTGGAGTTGATTATGACACATTTCTAGTTTGTTCAGTTATAACAAGGAATCAGTCATTGGTGGGAGGTTGTCTGAAATTGTAACTAACTTTCAAAAATTGAAAATAAAAGTAGAAATTACGTCTTCATTTGAAGTATATTAATTAAAGATCAATTAAAAATTGTCCATGCAATACAGAAATCTTGACTTATATGTAGGAATGGTTCAAAGAATTGTTTTTCATCCAGTTATTAAATATGATGTTTGAACAATCTTAATTTTTTTTATCAATCAAGAACATCTCTCAAACATGTATTCAACATAGTTCATCTCATGAACTCTCCTCACATCAAATCACTCAAATTATTGTATAGAAATACTTATTGGTTTAATTGCTTTGAAGTTTATTGCATAGGATGTCTTGACATGCATTGAGACACTTTGTCTCCTTATCCTTAACAAAATAAAATTATGGGTGATAAAAACTAAATCATGATATTTTAAAAACTGGATTCTTTCAGATTTTAGCTGTAGCAGTTTCATGGTTGTTTCCTGAGTTCAAGTTTATGTGGCTTGTAGAAGAATCCAAGAAACATCTCCCTCTTGAGCTCGACTTTGAGCATGAGGGGCAAAATGCAGAAAAGATCATGCAATTCTTCAAGAAATTTTCATTTGTTAAAGTGAGTCAAATATATTGAGTTTTTCATAAAGGATTCATCCATTGAAGTTGAAACTTAGAGACTGTCCTTAATCGTAAGTTGTCATCCAGTCATTCAAAAATAACTTTGATTTAACTGTATAAGGGGAAATAACTTTCTTTTTTTGGTCCCACTTTGCTTCTGCTCCAGGACTGAATGCATGCAGTTAAAAATGAAGATGAATTATTTAAACCCCAACTTTTGATCGGGGTTAAAGTGCACCTAAACCTCCAAATTTTTTTTGCTGAACAAAATGAGCGTATTTTTTGGAGTATTTCTGTGCAAAATTTTTTTTATTTGCTCAAATCTTCAATTTTCTGTGCCCAGTCAAAATACGGAAAATTGGCTGCCATCTTGGCCCACGACCGAGTTTAAATAGGAATGGCTCTAGCGGGCAATGTGACGTCAAATTGAGAACACGAACGTCTGCATTTCACACATTTTCACTTGTTTGGGTAGGTTGTTGTGGATATTGTCCGAAAATATGCCAACTAAGTGTGTTTTAGGAGGATGTAGCAACGTGCGAAATTTGCAGGAGGGTTTCACGCTTCATACATTTCTCATACAACACACCTAGTCGGCATATTTCTGACAATATCGACGACAACCTTCCCAAACAAGTGAAAATGTGTGAAATGCAGACTTTCGTGTTCTCGATTTGACATCACATTACCCGCTAGAGCCATTCCTCTTTAAACTCAGTCGTGGGTCAAGGTGGCGGCCGATTTTCCGTATTTTGACTGGGCACAGAAAATTGAAGATTTGAGCAAATAAAAAAATTTTTGCACAGAAATACTCCAAAAGATATGCTTATTTCGTAAGCGAAAAAAAAATTTTTGGTTTAGGTGCCCTTCAAGCTTATTATTTTATTAATTGACTTTAAAGCAGAGAAAATGGAGCCATGTTAGCAGCTTAAATTATTGTCTTCTTTAAGATTCCAGAAGTTTACTGGCAGTTTTCAACCAAGCGTGTGTTGACAATGGAATTCTGTGATGGGGGAAAGGTGGATGACCTACCATATATGAAGTCTCACAAGATTTCATCTGATGAGGCAAGTTGAATTAAATGCATTAATGTATTGATTTAAGTTGTTAAAAATGTGCCTTGGTTATGGTATTATGTAGTGTCTTTCAATGTTACCAAATTTCTGTGTCCACGAGAAAGGTTTACAATGCATGATATTTGGTTAGCATGACATGAGTGAGTTTTATTCCTGCCAAGGTCTCAACAGTTGAACCAGATGTGACGAAAGAAAACCATCTAACTGTACATGTCTTGCAAGACTGTAAGGGGGTTCATACTCTCTAGAGATAAGTGGGAAAATGGGTTCTTAGAAAAAAACAAATGCTTACCTAGCCAAAACTGAGTTCCCAGAACAGATTATTAAGGACATTTTTATTTATTGTTTCTTTTTTTTTTTTTTCAGATTGCCCACAAGCTTGGCCTCCTTTATAGTGAGATGATATTTGTTAATGGTTATGTGCACTGTGACCCTCACCCAGGCAACATTCTTGTGAGGCGGGATCCTGGCAATGGGGTGGAGGTTGTCTTCCTTGACCATGGCTTATATCAGGTATGGGGGGGGTCTATGTAATCCACGTTAGAGTTATTAACAAGTATTGTGGGGTCTATATCAGGTATGGGGGG